ATTAAATATAACAACCTCATAAATTTATATGCAAAGGCAACTCACTGCAAGGGCTCTTCAAGATCCATTTTTAAAAGAGAGATAAGTAACTGAAATATGAGAGACGAAATCGTGGTCTTTAGGAATGCTGTTATATTAATTCTATGCTGCTGTGGAAAAATGCAATATTCTCGTTGTGGTGAGCTTGCAAATATAGGCATGTTATCTGATATCTGCCTGCAACTAACGTTATATAACTACTGGAACGTAAGTGAGGCCATCAGGGTTGGGGGCATGGGGCTGGGGAGTGCTAGAGATGAGATCATCACTTGGGAACAATAAGGAAAAAATAATACAACTTTGTCCTTTCATACAATGCAATTATGGAGGGGTGGAATTAGTCTTTTTCTACCCCAAGCTGAATTTTTAATGTTAAAAATGTCTTGCCTAATTTGAAGTTTTTCTAGGACAGGTAGTTAGCTGGAGAATCAGTAATTCTGTGATTAAAAACATAGGAAGCAAGAGAAGCCTAGTTTAAAGAACGGAGGATGCATTCCTTGTAGTAAGGAGAGAAAGCTGCGATATGAAGGAGGACAGAGCTTGGGGTTTCTTTCTGTCATCATACACTTCATGGAGGAAAAAAAAGGAAGAAATTGCAGGAGAATAAAATTCCTGTGAAAGATTTAAGCTTTCAAATTGTTGTGGTCCCTCCATTGAGGGACTGGACTGCAAGAGTTCCCAACCTATGTCAGACACAGTTCTTTTGAGCAGGCTGTGGTAAAAAAGTCTATTTTTTTTATTCCCATAACAAAAAAAAATATTTTTTTTAAAGTAGCCTAAGACTTCTTTTCCATAGTTTATAAAAAGGTGCAGGCTTTACTAAAAGTAAAAGTTGGTTGTTTTTCTATAGTTCTTATATTAACCTTCCAGAAGCACATTGTATTATACTTGTCTTCAGACTTTTTGTTATAGTACGGCCATTCTATGATACCCATCGCTTGTATTTTTAAAAATCTTATGTAATTTGTCTTGGACTACTTGTCAATGAAATTGCAACGAAGAAATGGTCCGATACTTGATGTGTCTTTCACAGCTGAGCCAAGCTACCACAGACAGAAGGGGGGACAGGGGAAGGGTTCAGTTTGGAAGGATATTAAATTCAAGCTCTCTGTTGGATGCTTTCCTTATCATACTGACATCAGAAATAATTTTCACTTCTGGCAGGCTCATGAATGCAGAAAATGCTGAAAAAGTTCACTCAGGATTCAGTCTTGCCAAGTGTATTACTCTGACACCGGTATTCACTTTCTCCATTGATGGGTTGTTTGTTCAAACCAACTTGCAGGTCAGAACGTACATGTGATGTCTGAGGTCTTTACAAAGACAAGTAGGATGCAAGTTAATCCATTGTCAGCTATCCAATTGATGTATACGTAGCACATAAACGTCTTCCAGGCTAGCCTGTATTACAAAGTGGAAGACTTCATGTTTGGGCAGAACTCTCACCTTTCTCACATGGAATAAGTTAGGATTTCAAAAGGTAATCTCCTCTCTCCCCTGTCCAAGGCATTACGAGCTCTGTTGATGTCCTTTCTGACAGATGTTTGTTCTTAAAGAGTTTAGAGACTCTTCAGGCAGTCTGCTTCCATTTTCTGGGGTTTAGAACCAACTGCCAGGCCCTAAAATATTTCTGTAATCTGTTCTGTAAGTCTGTGTTTAGCAGCAGTATCATATCCTTCTGTGCAGCTTGATGTCAGTTGTCTCTCATAAAGCAAATTGTGCAGTCTCAGCTGTGTATGTTTCTATCATCTGAAAGCACCTCCATTCCTGGGAATGGATGATAGGATAGGGCATCGTACTGCATCTGCTTTGAGCCCCTTTTCCTGCTGTTTGCACCGTCATCTCATTGATTCAGTAGTTACTGCTTTGGCCTGTGTGGTAGAAGAGGTAGAAGAAATTCCTACCGCTGAGGGTAGGATGAAAATTACTCCAAAAATAAAAAGTAATTCTTAGCTTTTTGTACAAGTCCATGGTTTTCTTTCCATAGTTTGAGCGTGCATGAAGTGGAGCAGGCACAAAGGCAAGCCTTACCTTATCTCCAGGGAAAACTTAAGTCTCCCAACTATACGTGTCTTGGCTACTAGGCTTGAGTATGAAGTGTTACGTGGGGACTCTTTGATTTGACTGCCAGTGCTTGGCTGAGAAAGTGAAATTGGATTTTCTCCAGTTGAAACTTGCTGATCTACAGTTTAGGTACCTCCTTGCTCCTCTTAGAAAGCACTCTGACATCTGGGGTTTGGCCTGCATTGCAGCTTCAAGGTCAGATTGCTTTGCTCTTCTCCTTTGCGTACATACGAGTGTTACCACTCAGCTTGTACTGAAGGAAAATTGGATAGATTAATTTTATGGCAGGTGGCTTGAAACAGGCACAGGTTATTACCATGGTATAGTTGTCTCATACGCAGTGCATGTGGATTCTGTGAGTTGCCATCCTCTCCTGTTGTTTTGATGTCCTTTACCATCTGGATTCTCGATTGCATCTCGGCTAGGTGTACTCAAAGAAAGGTGTTTTTTTTTCTTGACATATGCAAAAAAAACACCTCAGTTACAAAAGAATAGACATGGCTTCTAAAGGAAGTCTGATTTCTTGTGGGGGGGCATGTATGCATCCCAGAAGAGGAATTAATGTACCCAGTATAGCTAATGTGGAGTAAATAGTTGTTTACTCTTAGGCTAGACTTGGCATGCTGTGTGGCAGTATGCCTTGGTATTCCACCAAGCTTTCTTCTTCTTGCCCATATTCCTAGTGCTTGTTTAAATACTGGTCTCTTTGTTTGTTTTAAATGACTGTTCAAAAAATAATGCTTTTAGGTATAAGTTGTGAAAAGACTTTTGCAAATGTGAACTCGGTGTGTACCAAAAGAACCCTCTCAGAGGGACTAAAAAAGCTATTCCAAGAGACACCAAATTCCTGTTCAAATTAACACATTAGCTCAGTTGTCTGATCAAGAAAACTATGAATATTAGTCTTCCTATTTTTTTCACCCTTCTCTGAAGGAGAGGAATTATGGAGTTGATCTTACATACTACAGACTACTCAGAGTGTCTATTCACTTCTGAGCTGTTTGTGTCAGTTAAGGAAAGGTGTTGCTGCTTCCTATCCTTTCAGGCCAATGTTTAAATTCCACTCTGGAAACCATTGCTGGAAAATGTGGAAAACCATCAAGGTGTTCAGTTTTCCTGTGGAGTCACCAGAATTCCTGCAGAAGTCCTGTTTAGAATTGGGTGTGCAGTTGGACTGATTTATCTAGCTCTGATATTTCAGGTCTGTAGAGATGGGCGTGGGGATTTCATTTTCAATTTGAGCATGTGAGTCGGTTCTGAAGCTGATAGCTTTCACTGAGGTAAAGGGTATGTCTCCTCCTATTGGAGTCACTCATTTACTCAGGTTTAATGCTCCAAATAAAGCACTTGCTTAATAAGTACTTAAAGTGTTTTGGATATTTACACATTTTCTAGCTTTAAAGTGTTATCTCTTTTATAATGACTTTTAAATGCTTTTATGTTTAATTCCCTAGTCTACCTTTTTCTTTAAAAAACAAATGAAAGTTGAGCGAGCAGGCAGATAATGGTTTGTAAGACCTCTGCAAAGATGTTTGTGAGGAAGGCTTATTCATACCCTCTACTTTTAGGCTGCCTTTGGGAAATCAAATCTCAGAAGGCCAAGCTGGAAGCTGAGGTTCCATACAAGTTAAGTGTTGGGTGTTTCTAATTGGTCCCTGGAGGTGCCTAAATTAGATGTCTGAAATGATCTCCAGGAGTACTCCACACCGTGTCCCTGTCTGCCAGCCTTTCAGTGCAAGACATCAGATAGCTCCTTATGGTGCCACGACAAAAGGTCCCATTCTTGATGAGTTTCGTTAGAATATAACTCAGAACTAAGTATTTTACTTAAAATTTCTGAAAACAAGCAAGCTTAAACATAAATATAAGCTATGCTACACATGCGTACAAGTATTGTTGACTAGTGTTCCTGTAGGAATTCTGCTTATTAGCAGTTATTTTGTCCCATGTATTCTGTTTTTTTTTCCTGTGAGGAACTGCTGCGTATCATGAAAGTATCCACAGACTTTAATCATTGATGTGTTGTGAAACTTGTTGCAGTTTTCAAGCTCACGAAACCTTATGATGCACAGTTATTTGTAGTATGAATCCCAGGCTGTGTTCTTTTTTGCACTGGAGTATGTTTCACACTACAAAACAAAATATGGCTACAGACAACGCAGAGGAATCTTTTCTCTTAGAAACACAAATAAAAAAACCTGTGAAGTTTCTCTTGTCATGGAACAGAATAGCCACATATTTAACATCTTGTAAGATGCATCTGGCATTCCAGTATAATTTCAGGCTGAGTAATGTGCAATACTTTCTGAAAAGAATGGCCACGTTAAATGGCAGAAACATGACTATAAAGTACACATTATATCTGTTTCAGCCTGCATGCTGGTAGTGACAGGTGCTCAATGGTTGTCAGCATCCTTGTCAGCACGGAGACTCCTTTGACATTAATGTCACCAGCTCCGTCCTGATGCTGCACAGCTCTATTGGCAGTTCCATCAGGCTGCGGCCCATCAGCGAATGTCAGAGGCTCTGCTGTTCTGCTGGCACGTCACCAGCCCTCTCTGGTTTGGGTCTGGCCTCGCCTGTTATTTGAACTTGCCACACTTCTTCAGCAGCTTCCCTGTGGGAAATAAATGGATAGGTCAGGGGTGTGTAGATATCTTTAGGGCAATGCAAAACCACATCCAAAATGACTCGCGTAAAGGTTTGTAATGATTACCATTACTTTAAGCCAATCAATGGGTAGAGTACCTAGGGACTCATTAAGTGGCATTTGTGGTGTCTGTAACGGAGTTTTGAGCTGTATTTCAGGAAATGCAGTGACAGCCTTTAATGCCTAATTGACCTCTTCTCTTTGTTTCGCTTTCCATATTTCCTTCTGATGTGTTCCCCTGTGGCAGCAAACAGCCCTGCTTAGTATCCTGAACTTCTGCTCGGAGCTTCAGCACCTCAGCCTGGGCAGCTGCGTCATGGTGAGTAGTTAGACCTCTCTGTGGGCGTGTGTGTGTGTGTGCACACTGGCTTTGAAACTTGGCCTGGATATATGCCTCACAAAGACAGGTTAAATGCTGGGCTGATGTTATGTCAGTTTTCAAACTTTTGAAAGGTCCAAGATGAACATGACTTAGTTGTATATCTAAAGATTGTGTGTCAGTTTAGTAGGCCTAAAGTCTAGCTTGTAGGTTTTTTTCCATTGTTCTTTATCCTCTTTATAAACTTTGGGGCATTTTTTATATATGTTTATATACATTTACATATACTTTTCCTTTCCAAAAAACAATAATTAAGTTATCTTTTACATTCAGACTAAATCATCATTCCTGACAGGTCAACTCTGGTGTGTGATACTACAGTTGTAAACACAAGAAATGATTTCAACAGAAGTTATTTGAGTTATAGACTTGGCTAGGTGCACGTTTTTCTTTTAAGAAAGAACATAGCAATTACTGTAGGGGAATCATCTGAGCTGTATCACATGTGCATGCCAGAACTGTATGCAGTGGAATTTAACTTGCTGCTGTCTCTGTGATAAGCACATCTGATAACTCATCAGGGAAACTTTGTGGACCTTCCTTGTAGTTGAGAAGCAAATGACAAAGCAGAATTGGCAAACCTTCCAAGCTTTGACTTGTGGACAGAGGAATAAGGCAGCATGACTAAATTTTTCCAACAGTCCTAGTCTTACTGTGTTTTCTGATAGTAGATTTCATTCCTTCTGCATGTAGAACTTTGCTTCCATAAGGAGCTGCAGCAAATGATCAACTTAGAATGGAAATAGAGTACTTTAATGCATGTGTCCTTATGGTTGCAATGCCTATGATCATAAAGACAATTTTAATCATTTTTGAAGGAAAAAAAAAAGGTGTCTTCAAAGGAAATGAACTTGTAACTGCATTTTCACTGTTCCTTAGTATCAAGTGAATTTAAAAGCATGTATGTCTGGGGGTTGATAGAAAATTTATTTTTGTCTTTTATAAAAGTAGACCTCACTACACAATGAATAATTTTCTGAGCTCTTTAGAAATGTCAAATGCTTAAGACAGATCTGTAGGTGTGTTAGCAAGCAAGTCTTGAAACACCTATGTATGTCTGGAAGGATGGTATATATGACAAAGTGTTTGTTTTCCTTGCAGATTGAAGACTATGATCTTATAGCAAGCATGATGGGAGCAAAATGTAAAAAACTTCGCAGTCTGGATCTGTGGAGATGTAAAAACATAACTGAAAATGGAATAGCAGAACTGGCTTCAGGCTGCCAGCTTTTGGAAGAACTTGATCTTGGCTGGTGCCCTACATTACAGAGCAGTACAGGCTGTTTTGCAAACCTTGCACGTAAACTCCCGAACTTACAAAAGCTCTTTCTTACGGCCAACAGGTCTGTGTGTGACACAGACATTGAAGAGCTTGCAGCTAACTGTACTCATTTACGGCAGCTAGATATATTGGGTAAGAAAATGTAGGAATATTGGTATACGTTTCACTGTCTCTCAAAAGCCTTAGAGTTAAAAAGGAGTCCATATGATAAAATTGCCTTCTAGACATTTTAAAATAAATCTTTCTTAAAAATTTGGCTTATCATATGAAAATAAAGGGATGGAAGTATTACTGCAGTGAGCTTCTGACACAAAATCCAACAGATTTATACCAACTGTGTAATTTGATTGTTTAGCATTAATTGCTTACACTGAAAATTCTGTGGACTTCTTTCAACAACTTCTAGTTTCACGTTCACCAGTATATTTAACTGAGATCTTTTGACTTTTGACTCTCAGAAGATTCAATTTCTTCTTGTTTCTGCTTTTGTTGTTTTATTTGATTCCTGTGAAGTGTGACAAAGTATATTTATAGTGGGAGTCTGTGACTAATAAACAGATTTCTGCTTTTGCATAAGACAGATATACTGAGCAGCGTTAAGAGTGTTTGTCACTTTTTTACCAGGGAAGGAGTTTGTCTTACTGAAGAGGAAAAGAAATAGTTAATAACAAAACTTAAAATGGACTTTTCTGTAAAGAAAGAAGTGGGAAAGAAGTGATGAGGGGCAAAAAACACAGTGAATCGTAATTTTCTAATTTTCTGCAGATTCTATAGCTAAAAATATTCTGGTAAATCCAAATATTATTGGGATTCCTGAGTAAGGACTTTGAGAATTATATTTTTTCATGATACTGAATTTATTCTGTCTGTGGTGGAATTTTAAAGTAGTGTAGGACAGCAGTGGTAGAAAATTTATTCATCCTTTTACTGACTTACTTTCACAGGGTTAGTTGAAAAACAAAGATGTAAAATATTAACGGGAAGAAAGTAACCACACTGCATATTTTTAATAATAGTTGTAATGTGGAAGTATTATGTTTAAGTTGAGGTGATGCTGTGGAGAAACAGAGCCCTCAACTCAATGTTCCAAGCAAGTTTAGGGCTATCACTATTTCTCATTTAAAAAAAAAAAAGGCTTCATATTGTCCCCACAATATAGATAGTAAACACTTACTATGAAATGCAATTTTACTTATCTCTAAATGAGACTCACCTTCTGAACAACAGAAAAGGAGAAGGCAAAGGAGAATGAACAGATAAAAATATATCTCCACCTGGTGCTACATACTGTTCTGGCTTAATGCATAGGTTTGCAGGTGGCAATGTGGTTTTGCTTGTATTTAAGGGGATCTAGTTTGTAGCTAGATTATCAAGGGTACCTTTCCCTAGTGAGACATGAAAAGTTTCCAGAAGGCATAGTGAATACGGTCTTTCATAAACATGTATGTTCTCCTGACCACCCACTTACATGCATTTCTGTTACAATGGTGTTGTCTGCCCACAAATCGGTCTGACCTTTTCACTACACCAGAGGCTGCCGAATGAATAGCTCAGTTGTGTTAAGCCTGCAGATAGTCTGCTGGTTCTGCTGCTTCTCTGCCAGTACTGAAGGTTTGTTGCCACGCTTCTCCTTTAACATTTGGATTCACATTTGAATTCAGTTTAATGCCTCGTTGATGTTTTTGTAGAAAAATGTGTGAACATGGAAAAGGAATTTTGTTCCATTCCCTGAGTGTTTACCAGCATTTACTGAGTCAGGTTAACTACAAATCCACTTTTCCTGGTGAGACTGCATGTTGGGTTAAGAAGGGTGCTCTGCAAAGGACATCCAGTTGAATCATCTGTGAATGTTACCAAAAACCTCAATATCCATTCCCAGAACACTTTCTTCCTTTAGAGCAATACTTAGTAGAGAAGAAAGACTCTTCTGCTATAAATAAGTCATTACAAGGTGATACAGTATATGTGGAGTGACCCAGCTATTTTGGCAACAGTAAGGAAACCATCTTTACGTCTTTGAATATGGGACCCATTACAGTCTGTGGTTCAAAGGAGTTGCCACGTAGAATCACAACCTTGCTTGGGTCATCTGGAAGTAGAATTGCCAGATGTTCAAATACAAATGCAGAAATCTCTGTCTGAACCAAAGACCTAGCCTCTTAGAGCGCAAGAGTACTGAGAAAATAAATCTCTGTACTCTAACTTTTGGCTGCTGATGTCAGACAAGCCCTCTATTATAAGCTATATAAATGCTTCATATGACTTTGTCCTTTTAAAGAAGCATGACAACAGGTCTTAAGCCGTTAGAGGCCTGAGGTCAGTTCTCAACTTTGCAAGACTAACCTTGAACAGCAGGTCTTCTCTGTGATGTGAAAGAACGTGAGGTACTCTTTTATATCCTTTGTCATTCCCAAGTAAAGAAATGGCTGGCTTATACCTGCATTGTGAAGGGCATAGAACTCTTGCTGCTAGGTTAGCAGTGCATGTGGTGAGGGAGCTTATTTTTTTTCTCAGTAACACTGTGTAAAACAGGGACTTAGATAAGGTAAGACATTTTGATCCTTACTTATAGTATAGTCACCATCACAGACGATACTTTGTTGGTATTTCTCTGCAGTTGGTAGAACTTACAAACTTGGCAGGGAAAATTTCTTGTTTCAGTTACACAATATTTACAACCACAATATTTTCAGGACTGAAGGAAATCTAAGGCTCTGAAAGAAAGCTTGTTGAATTGTATATCTTACATTTTAGTATTACAAAATCAATGTTGCATGTGCACTGGATGCTGTTTTCAGGTGGCAGGTCCTGCAGCTTGCTAACTATCTGTCTTTAGTCTTTCCATTATTGCTTGGTAATTCTCTTGTTCCTAAATCAGTGGACTTCATTGAAGATGGAAATTGCCAGTTTCTAAGGGCTGCATAAAATTATTGGCCTGTATGAAGTGTTATTTGATGGGTAGTTGTGTTTAAATGGTGTAATGGTGTGTAAATCATACTTGAGAAAGTAAACTTCTGTTAAAAATCATGGTTTAGATCCATATCTGCAGTATTTATAGTACAGCTTGGAAGAGCAAGTATGATATTAAGTGTGTCACTAAGTACATGAGGGTGTGCCTTCTTCAGTTTTTAAGTTCTGAGGTTGTCTTTTTTTTTTACCCATTACGTACTGAGCTGCCTGCTTACAAATATTCTATGCCCGTATCTTTTCCATGGACTGACACAGTGGGTTATACAGGAACTATTCCCCTATTTTTTGTTTGCTTGAGGATGTCCACCCAGCAGTAGAATGTTCCATCTGTGATCATCTGACTGCTTTGTAGTGATGCAGTATGTTGTCCAGTGCTATGGATCTTGAAGTGGGAACCTCATGACAAGACAGGAGACAACCTGACCTGGCAATGCTGAAAGCCTTTATTGTATGCTGTGTTAGCTGCTCAGTTAGTTATGTTGCCGTGGGGCTACCGGCTGCTGTCAAGGATGGAGAATGTCATGCTAACCTTGCTCCCCAGCAATCTTAACTGTCTGTCCTGCACAAAAAGAGTAATAAAAAGTAGACACCCTTGTTACTGCAGAATTCATGTACTCCTGTCTACATACCAACACCTCCCACACCTTCCTGAGCAACAGAAAACCCAACTGCCCCCTTGCCAGCTGTCAAAATCTTCAGCTTTCTCTTGAGAGCATCAACACATAGTTAGTCAATTCAAACATGAAAATGTGCAGGCATGTTGAAGTTTAGAATTCAAAGGGTGTGCAATAAATTGAATAAAACAGTAAAGAATAAAAGGCTAATCTGGCTGGTCTAGGGGAGAAAATAAGATTTTTTGGGGGGGGGAATACTGCTAGTTATTTCCATGATCTCTACTTCTTTAGCCAGGAAACATATATGTATTCTTTTTCAATAACAGTTGGAAGTTTTTTCACATGTACCCTGTTGAAAGCTTATTATGAGTGTATTTTTAAATGAAATTACTCAAGGCACATCTTTTTTTACTTAAATATTTATCTTTATTGTAATTTGTGTAGCAGTACCCTTTGCCCTAGAAGCTGGGGCTCTGACAGTTTCCAGAGGTGGTACTTCTATAGCTTTATATATGATAGATATAAATTAAATAATTTAACTCTTCTAGCAAACAAATCATCAGTCGGTGCCTTTAATGAAGAGGATACCAGAGAACTTTTTTCTTGAGAATAAACTGAACAACAAAATTAAATAGTGGATTTTAATACACTGATTATGTATTTACTTTGAGAAATAGGTAATTAGTTCGCGTAGGAAATATTTTAGTAAATAGCAAAGGTCTAAAAGCCTCCAAACTAAACCAGAACGTGTTATGTAGGTAACTAGCATTATATGTTGTCAATTTCTGAAAGACAAAAAAAAAAGTGTCATATTATTCACACTTCTGCCATGCTTTTGGATGTGCTTTAGAGAAATGTATGTATCACTAATTGTACATTGTATAATCAGAGTAATACTGTGGATGATGTTTGCTAATCCTGTGCTGTGAATATACAAACACCAACCGGGTTGGCCTTTTTAGCTTTGGAAAAGGTCTTTCCTAACACATTTTCCTTTTTTTTTTTTTTTTTTTTTTTTTTTTTTTTTTTAAGTCTGAGGAGGAGAAAAGGAAGAGGTGCAGTAAAGCATGTAATTTAAATGACCTATTTCAGTTACAAATACATTAAAAAGTCTTGGTCTTAAATGAAACCACAGGACAACTGTCAAAGTTCAGATAATTGCAGTATCAATTTTAAGGGTCGGTGGAAAGATGAGTAGCATAATGCTCTTAGAGTTTCAGTTGGAATGGTAGAGCTGGCCCTTCTGGTAGGGCTGTGGTACTATGGTAAAATTATGGTCAGGTAAATATGTAACTGAAGCATATCACAGAACTTGTGTGTGGCAATAGGGATTGTTACGTCAGACAGTTGACCATTGTGGTGGCAGATTGTGTAATAACAAGAGAGTTAAAAATTACAATAATGATAAGTTTTGATACCTCTGTGTAGATAAGGTAAAATACAGGGGCATGATAGCAAAACCTGTTTACACATAACATCAAATGATGTCCCAAAACTTCTAATCTGAGAACCTATCATAAAAGAAGTGAAAAGCACAATTAGACACTCCCTTGCTTATGCAGAGGAGTACAGATCACTAAAAAATGAGGCATCTTTCTGGAAATGAGACCTGTTCAAAGAAGGAAAACAGGGAAATGAATTCTAGGAAGTAAAACAACATCACAGTAAGGCAGAAATGAGATATTAAGGAACCGATGGCGAAAGGCAAATGCTGAAAATGTATTTCACATGCGTTACAAGAAGTTTATGGGAAAATTACGGAGACTGGTAGATGATCAAGATTTGATCTGGCCACTTAGATAGTTTTCCTGGAAAGGCCTTCTCCTGTTGTTGCCTCCAGTCACTGCAAGAGGGATCAAGTTGGCTGCTATCAAACTCTTTCCTTCCAGGAGATTAGCCTGGAAAACCGTCTTAAATTGGAATGCCAATAGAGGAGGCTTTTGAACAAATCAATACATTGAACAATAATAAATTGTTAGGACTAGATGGTATTTATGCAGCAGTTCTAAATGAGCTCAAATACAAGACTGTTGAGATCTTTCTTATGGTGCATGGTTTGTCACATTAATCAGCCTCTTCACTAAAGTCTTCACTAGAGGAGTGAAGGTTTACAAACATGGCACTATCTTTTGCATAGGTTAGAAGCTACAAAACAGTAGGATTATCTTTTGTGTAAACTGGTTGCAACCATACTAAAGAATCAGTGGATATGAGGAATGTTACAGTATTTTGAAGGAGAACTCCATCCATATGAAGATGGTTATGTCTTTCAAACCTAGAATTCCTTGGAGGTTGTGGTGAATGCTGATTCAGCCCATAGAGGACTGGACTTTCACAAGCCTTCACCTAGCTTATTCTGCTTTTATAACTCTAGCAGTCTTTTGTCTTAGAGTCCGTGCTTCAGAGAAGAGACAGCAGAGGCCAAGAATGCTTTGTCTTTTTGCTCATTGAAGTTCAGTCACTGCTGTGTTCACCCAGTGTCCGTACTGTGACAGGTGCTGTCTGATCTGTTTGAGTAGTCCAGGCAAAGGGATGAATAATGCTGTACCAGAGCTTGCTGATAACACACAGGCATACAGGATAGAAAAATCTAAAGCCGAAGAATTTAAGACTGAAGGCTTGCAAAATGAGGCTATGATACTTAGTAAACTAATAACAAAGGAAGAGGAAAACAGTTCCATCAAGCTTATGAATGATTTAGAAAAAGTGAAATGTGAATGCTGTCTCTGCTTCTTTATTTTATTACCCCTTAATTATTGTAATTCACACACAGTGGGTTTAAAGCTGATTTCCTTTTTTTCCAACACCAAATACGGTTGAACTGTAGAACTAGTGGAGGGGCCATAAATATACATGAGTTCAGAAAAGTAGTAGTAGCATTCATGAAAGGTAGCTTCAGAAATCTCTAAATCAATAGTTTGTCAGTTAAGAGTATCTACCAGTGAACAGCTACTTTAAAAATCTGTTGTTGCATCTATTTTTGTTGGTTTTGCTATAAGCATTATTGGTCCTGCCAAAGACAAGATACTAGACTGGACGGCTTTGTGGGGTGAAATTCAGTTCAAGACAGAGCTGTGTAGATTGATTTATCTACCAATAGATGTCTACAGTCATGTTGGATGACCTTGATGAGCAATGTAGCCCACTTTAGACATCTAGACTAGATTCTCTTGCCCAGAGTAACCTGCCTGGCTGCCAGCTGTTTGAGTAAGACATGGATCTCCTGTCCGCCCTGTGGCCTGTCTGCCAGCTGTGTGTGGACATCCTTCATGGTCTAAGGAATCCAAGGTGGCACCAGGCACTTCACAGGCAACTGAGTCATACCCCAGTCAACTGAATTGTGTGCTGCATTAACTATACTGACTAGATTTCCATCAACTGCAGTGGATCCAGGCTTATGAATGTGTTTTTCTTTATTATATATTTATTTATTTCTGACTGAATCCAGTGCTTGACCTGACCCAATGTGAAACTTAATAGTTCAGTCACTGGGATCATGTTTTTAGTGTGTTTTCTGTTACAGGTATCCTATACATATCCTATATACAGGAAAGACTGATAGTACTTGAATTGCTCTTGCATGCTTCTGGGTATAATACTCAATCCAGAGTCCTAAAAGCCTTGCTGATTTATTTATAATGGGAATAGCCCATAATAGTGTGCACTGTGCCAGTCGTTGGAGTCACCAGAACATGAACGGTTGATGATGAATCAAGGACATGAGTGTAGCATACAATTTTGCTTGTGGCCAAAGCCTAGCATCTAGATCCTAGATCTTGTGGGTTTGGATACTTTTGGTCAGCTTCTGTAGTTAGGAACTGCTCTTGAAGTTGCAACATCTCTCCTAAGGAGAAAGTAGTGGACTTGAGCAGCTGAGTTAAGAAAATGTAACAGGCTTTTTAAAAGCAAAACAAAAACAAACAAACAAATGAAACAAACAAACAAAAAACTTGCAAAGACAGGCTCTGAGAAGTTTTTAATTTGAAATCTAATTGGAAAAAAAATCTAGTGTAACACAGTGTTAATTTATTTTTTTTTTTCATGATGTAGTATTAGCAGCCTTAAAAAAAAAAAAAAAAAGATATTAACTTTTCTATTTGTTTTCTTTCTTTTCTGTTTTCAAACAGGGACAAGGATGGTAAGCCCTGCATCTTTAAGAAAATTGCTGGAATCTTGTAAAGATCTTTCTTTACTTGATGTGTCCTTCTGTTCACAGATTGATAATAGAGTTGTCCTAGAACTGAATGCCAACTTTCCTAACGTGTTCATAAAAAAGAGTTTCACCCAGTGACTCACTACATATGCTGCTATGGAATACGTTTGACAGTTATTTCCTGTGAATTTGTGCTGACTTTTTTAAGAAGAGTATAAATTCCCTATGAAATAGTGGAGAGTATTAAATATCTGCACAAATGGGTAAAATACATTTAAGTATATTATGCATTTCTTAGAGTTGATATTGTACCTAATAATTGTTTATCCTGTTAATTTATGGCATTGCATGTTTTTAAATACTTGCCATATGTGTGGTTTTAATGACAAGAAAATGAAAAACATCTTAAATATCCCTTTATAGGGCGTTATAGACAGTAGACTGTGTTAATATCTAGATAAAAGAAAATGTTGAATATTTAGCGGTAAGAAAAATATGGGTGCTTCCTTTTATGTGTATATATATGTACGTGTGTGTATGTATATATAAATGTTTACAGGTATACATACGCACATACTGTAGCATTTTAGTTTGTTCTGCAGCATAAGATCTTATGATCAGGCCTAGAATTTTTTTTATTTGAAAAACTGCTTAAGCTTCTGTAAGAATGGATTGAAGAGACACTTTGTCTTCTTCCTTTTTTTGGCAATGAACTGTATCTGATACATTTTTCTCCCTTCCTCCATCTGAAATAGATGTAGTGATGTTTTACAGTCCAGCCTAAGCGACACAACAGATAAAAGCAAGAACCTTCCACCTGAACTTATAGCAGAAACGAGAGAGAAAATTGCGAGCTGCTTCTTGGTATTGGATATAAAGTTTGAGCCAGGTACTTAGTGTCATAACTGATGGTGTGTAGAAAACTCCACAGCAATTTTCTTTTCAAATTTCTGTCATGGTGAAGACTGTTGGTTTGTGATACATCTGTTTATCATGTCAAGTACCATTTTAAAAAATATATTAATACTTGAGATAATGTATTAGCAACTGTCTCTTGCGCTGAAATCAAATCTGCTATCAAGTATAAAAACAAGCATCTTTGTTCAGTAAAACAGCAATGAAAATACAGTGGTTTTGAAACAAGGGCAAATGTGATTTAGTGACTTACTAATATAAGGTATTGTATTTGTTTTGTTTGTTTGTTTTCCAAGAGGTGATAGCTCCAAGTACTGTTGCACTCTCTCTTTAATGCTGTTTAGCTGCTGAAGAAGGAAAACTGTGTTGATGGACAAATCATAAAGATTTTTTTGTACTTTTTGTACTTACTTGGATGAAGCTTTTCTCTTTCTTCTTTAATACCATGGCTAGAGTATGTTGCTATGTACAGAGAGAGTTTAGTGTTTTACCTTTTCTAGCAATTGTTGATGAATATGGACCATGACATGCAGCCTGTCATTTGATATTGGCTCCACCATTACTGTCACGATGGCACTTATTACCTACTGGAAGAAGAGGGAAAATATTTTGTCTGGCAGAAATGCGTTATTGCACTGAAGATCCCTGGCAAAGAATACTTCAATTTACGTGGTAAAAACCCATCCACTAGTAGAGGACTGCTACGAAATGTTACAGATTCGACAATCTCTGACTCCTGAATGAACACTATGAACTCTTTGTGCAGGTGCCAATACTATATAAACCATGTCATGAAACAGCTACAAAACATCTATCTGATTTTATAAGAAGAGCTTTTTCTTCTGATTTTTTTTTTCATTTTACAGAGTCTTTTGGGAATTCCAAATCTGAAGATGGACATACACAGTTGGCTTTCTGATTTTATTTTTTTCCTCTATACAGATGGCACTAGGGGATTTCCAGATATATTATGCCATTCCATTTTTATTAAACTGGACGTTATTAGAGATCTTTAAATTCAGATATTTTTTCCCCCACTGACATATGTCAGCTTTGGCATGATTCTATGTTGAGACTTCATTTGTTTCCATCAGGTTTGGATTGATTTATTTTTCTGGGAACTTAACTTTTGATGTTTTTTTTATCTACAAGTAATATTTTTCATTGTAACTGAATATTAAGCATTATTAAGCATTGTAGGAAAACACAGGTTCAGATAACAGGAGTTTACAAAGAACAGTATTTTAAAACAAATGTTTTTGTTGAGAAATTTTACTTCTCAGGGTGCATCTGTTTTATCTCCTTTTTTCTTAGAGATCTTCCTTGTTTTCCAATGTAAATAGAATGGGATGTGGATGAAGTTATATCCGTTGTGCCTTCATACTGGTAAACTAGGTAAATAGTAGAGTGTCCCTACTATTCAGCATCAGTGAATCAAGTTAAGTGTTTTTGTAATCATGTATGTGTAAAGAATTTTGTTCTCTGTTGCTTTTTAGGTAGTATAAAGGAGGTTTAAATTGACATTTTGTTCATACTATTTTTTTCTTTATGTTGTGTCTTCTTTTTGAAGTTGGTTTTGTCAGAAATGTTCTATTTTATCTTGAAAGATAAATTGAAGTCTGTTCTTTATTTGGACCATTTAAAACTTAGCTATTGATAATGTAATAAAGTCATATAGTTGAGAAATAATTGGGGAATACTTTCATCTGTACTTGTACACCTTAACCTTCAATCAGTGAGTTAAAAGCTCTTTTAGCTATGGCTTTATACTGGCAAAAAGTCTTCCAGCAAAGTGAGGAAAGACCAGATTTTACATTTCTGATATTTCTAATAAAAGAAAAAATAGTTTTAGACCTTCCTTATATGTCACAATGAAGCAAGAATAGGTCACTGTATTTTTAGTTATTTTATACTTATATGTACATATATATCATTTATACATATATGTATGTATATACATGTTGTGTGTGTATATATACTCTATGTATAAATCTCAAAGGTTTTCATGTATCAGTTACTTTTGTGAAGTAATCATAATAGCAAAGGTGTTTTGTAGCAGTTGTGTTTTTAAAACATTGTTTTACTGTACACAGAAACTGAGTCCCTCTCCATCTGTGCAACAGGAAAACCCTGGCCATTAGGTACCCGGTATTTCCTGTCTTGCTTTGCCACAGTGCCTTTTGTTTGTCTGCACATGGAAGATATTACAGGGTATGGTAGGAGTGCGAATGCGAAGTCCGATAACTACTGTGGAGACTCTCCATGTGAAGCTGTCATATAGAGGGAAACTTGTTCTAGTTTCACTTAATCCAAAATGAATGATGCCAAATCAGTCAGAGGAGTTTAATTATTTTGGAATTGGGTCATCTTCTCCAACAGTCGACCATCCCTCTGTCACATTATCTAAATCCTGCTTTTAAGGATATTCCATTTTTCTTATCTTGTCCTTTGATCTCATCTATCTTTCTGAAGCATGGTAAAATGTGCTTTGGTGAATGTTGAAAAATAAAAATAAAAAATTGCTAAAATGCCTGGGGAAAAAAAAGTGTCTTGTTCTGAAGTTCTCCTGTTCTTCAACTTAAGGGGGATTTCTGTACTATATATATGAAGTTGGCATGGGCTGTCATCATCGGGAGATACGGCATTCATTATTCTGGTCATTTAAAAAGTTAATACAAAAATTTTAGCAGTTAGAATCTTCCTAACTCTTAAAGGATTTAATACAATATTGTACATAATCCAGAACTGTCTGACTAGTCTAGATATCTCTCTGGATATGGATGGGCTTCTTTTGTTTAAATTATGCACTCAATTAAGTACATTACTGAGCTTGACTTTAGAAGAACAGTTCACATAGGAGTTTGAACCTTATGATACCCATGTACTTAGATATCCAAAATTCAGACAAAAGAAAAAACCAAACAAACAACAACAAACATTCTATTTGTTGCCTGATCATTTCCTTACGGCTATCATGCCAACTTTTCCAAATGTAAGATGTCCAGCAATCATGGTACACTGAGTGGAATTCATCTCGCTGAGTGCTGGCTGTCTGAGAGACGTTTGGTTTATGGGAGGAATCTGGGCACCTCAAGAGAGCTATTAATCTTCTTCTAAGATAGATATTTAAGGAAAGTAGAATGAGTGATTTTCTGGAGAGCCCCAGTGGAGACTGCAGAAGCTGTGATTTTAGCTCAGGTTAGATACTTTTCTTTGGAATACCAAACGGAGATTAATTCCATCCAGTGTTGTACTCCCTGCCTTGGAATAGTGAAAAACAAGACTGGAACAACATCCATCCCCGAATGTCAAAACCTTCTAAAATCTATACAGAAAGAAATAAATCAGATGTTGACAACTTAAAAAGTATTTTCTTTTTTAATTCCAGGATTTGCTTCTGCCCCAAGTCCCTTGCCAATGCCTGTAGTGTCTTTTTTTTATTTTTTTATTTTTATTAAATTGAAATGCATCTCCTTTCTCTATTTTAAAATTTCATGTACCTAACTGGCTATATGTATAATTCTATGAATGCATGGAATTAAGTGGAAAACAGAATTAATGTATTGCATTTATTTCGATAATCTTTCATACTGCTATAATTAAACCTATGACTACTTTAACTGTTCTCCTGTCATCAGCAATGACACCCACTGTGCATTTGAAAAAATTGTGTGTTTGGTCCTGGTTCTTACTGTGTGTACTTATTGCATCTTATGGGATATATTTCCCATATTGCATCTGCAGGACTACTAAATTTACAAAAACTAGATAAAATGTAGCATTTTATTATATGGAGCTTGGGGGTGGCTTTATGTATTGATTTACATGTTCATTATTACTCTCTTGCAATGATTCCGTAAGTTGTAGCTTTTGATATTACTAAGCAAAAGATTCCTGGTTTAATGCATTTGTACATGCTATGTTAGACATGGTCAACATTTTTCCAAAATAAAAGTTTCACTGCTTTCACTGAAATGTTAATTTCTGTCATTTCAGATTTCTTACTTGGCAATGAAGTCCAAGAAGGGCTTTTAATTAAATACTACCACACATGGGACAAGCTGTGATAGCTGACATCAGGAGGGATTGAGTCATAAGTCTTGTGTGTGAAGGGCCTTATGATCTTCAAAGAAGGGCCTTGGCAAGATGTGGCTCTTTTTAAGAAGATTCAGCCTCAGTAGTAGCAGACAGTGGTGGTATTTATCTTTTTAGCTAATGGATAAAGTATTATTTTTGTTTGATTTGTGTAGCTCTAGTTTGATTTAAGAATGATGTCTGTCATAAAACATCCTAAGTTGGAGAGGATCCTGTGTGAGGAATGAAGTTTTTCTCTTGCGTGTTTTGTTCGGTTTTTAGAAAAACAAGCAAATAGTGCAAATATTAAAAAACAAACAAACAAAACCACCACACTTTTCCTCAGATACTAAAGAAATGCCAAATGCCAAGAAAGTTGAGAAAAAGAAGCAAATGGGACTTTTGAAGCAGTTGGTATGGAAATCTGTGGAAACGTGACCAGACCTATTTATGGACAATGAAGAAGGTGCATTCATTGTTCTAGATCAGCAGTTACCTTTCCCAGGAATTTAGTTTCCTTTAAAATTTCACATACTTACATTTCTAGGTCAAGATTCATCATTAAGACACTGATATTACTGTTTTGTATACATGCTTGTGCAGTAGTGCCTACTGTCTACCTAGCTACCTAAAAATATTCACCTAGCACTGCCCAACTGCATTTTTTCCTAAAAATGAATAAATAAATGTATGTGTGCACACAGATGTATGCAAGATTTAGTTTACTTTTTTGCAGTTTGTCCTTTCTGAGGACATGAACTGTACTTTTGAAGTAAAAATAAAGATAAAAAGAAGACTCTGGGGAAGAGAAGGCTTGTGTGATAGGAGAATCTGATAGAGGGGAATAAGTCAAGGGAGCTAGGCTCTTTCCAGGGGTTCTCAGTGCCAAGACAAGAGGCAGTGGGCACGAACTGACATGCAGGAGGTTCTGTTGAAGCATCAGGAACTACTTTGCCGTGCAGTTGACTGAGCGCTGGCACAAAGCAGTTGAGGAGTCTCCCTCTTCAAAGATCTTGAGATTCCTGGCCCTGGGCAAGTAAATAGCCCTGCTTGAGCAGGGGTTCAGGGGTTGCACCTGGTGGCCTCCAGAGGTCCATTCCTACCTCAGCCCCTCAGTGACTTTGTCATCTGAGACTTGCACTATGGTTGTTCTGTTTCTGTCAGTGTACTGATTGGTGAAAGTGGTGGAAGGGGGGGGAAAGGAAGAAATCACAGAATCATAGACTCATTTAGGTTGGAAAAGGCCTCTAAAGTAATCTAGTCCAACCTTTAATCTAGCACTGCAAAGTCTACCATTAAACTGTGTCACTAAGCACTACATCTACACGTTTTCTGAAGACCTCCAGGGATGGTGATTCAACCACTTCCCTGGGCGGCAGGGCAGTACTTTCCTGGGCAGTACTGTGATCTAGTGTTTCACACCCCTTTCAGTGAAGATTTTTTTCCTAATATCCAGACTAAGTGCAACCCTGGTGCAACTCAAGATCGCTTCCTCTTATCCCTCGGTGCTTGGGAGAAGAGCCCAATCCTAACCTTGCTACAGGCTACGGCCTCCTTTCATGTAGTTGTAGAGAACAATAAGGCTCCCCCTACCCCCAGCCTACTTTTCTCCAGGTTAAACAACCCCAGCTCCCTCAGCTGCTCTTTGTAAGACTCGTTCTCTAGATCCTTCACCAGCTTTGTTGCCCGTCTTTGGACACACTCCAGCACCTCAACGTCCTTCTTGTTACAAGGGCCGAAAACTGAAAGCAGTACTCACGGCGTGGCCTCACCAGAGCTGAGTACAGGGGGACAATCACTTCCCTAGTCCTGCTGGCCACACAAGTGTCTTAAAAAATATGTAATGTCACAAGTAGGCACAAGAATCTCGTTCTTTTGCCTTTTTTTTTTTTTTTTTTTTTTTAAGAGAAGTGCTATTTTTGTTTACATTAGTGGGAAAATGTAACTAAAAATTTTGGTGGCATTTTCAATGTACAGTTCTGTAACGTACAAACCACACACAAGTATTTTATTATTAGTATTACTATAGTATTTATTAGTATTATAGTATATTATCTATTAGTATTATTCTGACTCTGAAGTCTGGAAGGTACACCAAGGACTAAGATAAATGCCTCTGTTGTGGGGTACTGACAAAATTTAGTTTCTAAACAGAAGCTAGCCTATAATACTTTAGGAACTTTGGTTTGTGTCTTCTTATTTTTAGTATTTATTTACATAGATCTTAGGATAAATTTGGCTTACTGTACTTTGGGTGCCATTTTTTTCCTGCTTACTCTGTTGGAAACTGAGTGTGGTGGTTAAATATTCATAGTGTCAAAACGTGAAAATTTGAATTCAGATGAAAAAGAGGACGGTTTATGAAACACTGAACTGTCAGAATATTTCAGGGAGATACTGAGTATAATGTGATGAACTTAACATCCCTTGCGTGGTTATTTATTGTTGTACCGTGGTGAAGAGCTGTTGGCTAAGGACAGTTTTACTGTCAGTCCGGTCATCTGCTCACTCTCAGGAGACGGGTTCCCTCTACTGAACGTTGGTCTGTTCAGACTTACTTTCCTCATGGCTGTACCAAAGACTTCTGCATGATACACACTGCTCTGCATTGAACAGTGGGAAATTAATAAACAGCTGTTTGGTTGTGGTTTGGAAACTAATGGCTAGTCTATGCTTGGAGTTATTTTGGAATAGCTACCAAAAATGAATTTAAATATTCAGGAATTAGTGTGTTTGCAGGGGGACTTTGCACTTTCTCATTTAACTTTCACTTACAGACAAGTCCTAATTACCACCTGTCCCTCGAGCCATCTTAGTGAAATTGATTTGATGGTCTCATTCTAGCTCTTCCTAGTGAGCATAAAACCACTACAGCTCTTTAGCATCTTGTGGCTTTTTGTGTTTGTCTTCTCAACAGGCTTATAGTGCAGCTGGGGTGTGTTGAGGCTGGCCTGATCTCCACAAGTGGTGTGTGTGAATTGCCTGGGGACATTTTCTGCCCACGTTTATTTGTGTGAGTGAGAAGGAATGGCATTTCCAGGCCTTCGAACTTCAATACCCAAACACGACACCTGAATTTATTGAAAAAGGATTTCTCTCTCCTCGTTGCCCCTCAAGTAACCAGCGACAACATACTTGCATGGTGTTTGACTTAATATGTTTATCTTATACTATTAATATTTTTATTAGTATTTTTATCCATTTTCTGCTGCCACAATGGCATTTTGACAAACAACAACCTGCTACCATGTTATCTTTTAAAGGGACTAATTTATGTAATAGGTAGAAGAGCAGCAATATAGGGAAGAGTCCTGGACAGTATCTGTAAATAGTTCTGCTATACGGCCATATATTTCTTTATAAAAAAGAAAAAAAAAAATAGTAACTTGCTTGTGGTGTTAGATACCAAATTTGTTCTCCGAGCTGTCATTCCATAAGTTGTACACACCCAACGTTCACCCCATTTTTTGGTTTATGCCTCTGTTAGTTTGTACTAGCGGTGTTTACCTCAGAGTGATCTCCATATTTCCTCTTCGTATTCTCCTCCGAGGCTTTTTTGGTTTTACTTGATTATATTTTAAAATGGTGTTTTTTCTCTTCTCAGTATTCTGCTTGGTGAACTGAAGGTATGTTATTAATGTATAATTTTTGTAGAGATTTGACTACCGCATCTTCTCTATGTAAAACCCACGGGTCTCTGTGCGTATGCAGGCACAGATGCCTGGTGCCTCCTTGTTTGAATACCTTTGGCACATATCACTTGACATATATTTGTGATATAAGGTGTCGTGTGGCGAAGGGACTTTACCTACACACCTATACAAAACAGAGAAGTTAGCTCTGTGTTTGTGATTGGATTTATTAGGGAGAAGTCTAATGCCTTATGTTACTTGTTCAAATATATTTTATTTTTATTTTAAAAATTAGATTACATATTTACACACCAATTGGTCCTAGTTAGTAAATTGGGCTTGTTTTATTCTGATACTCTGAATCATTTAAAATGTTGTAACAGTGTTGTGCAGCTTTATTCTGTTACTGCCAGTGTAAAGAAGTTGGAATCGACGTCCTCTCTGAGTTGTCGGTGTCTGCTAATTCCAAGATGACAGAAATGTGAATATATAGCCAACCTATAGTATTTATCTTGCTTTGCAAACTTAATTTGTATCCCCTTGACTGTGTTGCCAAATACCAAATGTACATAAAATAATGAATAAATAAAACAAAAATAAAATTTTGTCTACATTCATTGTCCTTTTGTGCACTCATTTGAAAGAAAAAATGGCGAAATAACAAAATATGATGTATTAGAAGAACAGGTTGAACATATTTGTATCTCCGTTCATTTTGAAATGTTATTCCTGAGTGTGTTTAGATACAAAGTTGTGAGATTTTTTTAAGTGTATTATCGTTTAATTTTTAGATTACTGTAGCCCTATTAAAGCATATAGACCTCAGTGCATTAAACAAACAGCAAATGTTTCACTGCCTGAAACAGCTTCTGATTTAGGTACAGAGCAAGAGGCAACAGACAGATATAGACAGATGGGATATAAAGCAAAATGAAGAGATTACAATGTACCAAAAGAAGCCTCCAAGAAAAAAAAAGTTGAATTTCTTTCAAGAATAATTTCCTACTCAAACACAAATGGTGTTGCCATAAAGTATTTTTAATCCTTTTAGTTGGGTAGTTAGGTAGTTATATAGTTGTGTATAAGTGCTGTGGAACTCCAGAAAGTTGATAATAGCTCAGCAAAGCTTTCACAGACTTCTGTTGGTTTTCAAATGGGAAGCAGATGGTGACAGGCTATCAGCTGGACTTGATTTGTCCAGGACAACTGAGTGCTGAACTGGAAGTAACTGCTAGGATAGATTTTTTTCCCCCATCTTGTCTAGAAAGT